CATCTTGTACAGCAATTAACCACTAGGAAGAATGTATGCAATGTGTTAATTATTGAAACTGTGCTACCAATTTGATTTGAAACTGTCTCACTGCTATTTGTTTCTCAATAAAATTATGAAAAAAAATATAAATAAATAAAATGGTCATATTTGAAAAAAATACACAAATTAACCAACTATACTTAAAACAGTGAGTGTAGGTTGTATACGTTTGCATTTTCCTTTATTTTTCTTATTTTATATTCTTATTATACCATAACTAATTAAAATACAAGATGCTCCCATAAACTAGAGTGAACAAAGGAAATCAATTCTTTATGGTAAGTGATTGATGTAACCTTAGTGAGAAGTGTCCCTTTTTGTGTTCTATGTTGTGGCTTCTTTGATAACATTCATTCCAACTGTATTATAAAGCTACTTTCTATTTATGTTAACCTATAATAAAAGATAATAAAGATTACTTCATCTAATTATAATTAGCAGAGTTAAAAATAAATTTTTGTCCAGAGTTGCTAGGACAAAAATGTTCATTAGTTTTCTGGTCTTCATAGGAATTTTCCAAACTGTCTTGCCTACCCAGGCATGCTGTCACACACCTTTAATGCCAGCACTTTGGAGGCTGACAGTGAAGGATCACTCTACATTCGAGGCCAGCCTGAGCTACACAGTGAGTTCAACGCCAGCCTGAACTTTGAGACCCAGTCTCAAAAAAAAAAGTTGACTTGCTTAAAAGTGAGTAAATGTTGAGAACAGTAAGAAAACAAATATGAGGATCAAGGAAAAATAAAAGGGATTAGGTAGGCTAATTAATATGAGAAACAGAAAAGCAGGATAGAGGAGAGAAAAACGAATGAACGATGCTGAGGTAGGAAAAAGTGTCTGCCTAAATAGTGACAACTTTAGAGGCCCAGCTTCAAAGTAGTTCATGTGATTCTGACACTGACGTGTAGGAAGACTCATTCATTTCTTTGTTTCCTACTTAAACAATCTTCTGTTTTGTTTTTATTTTGTAGTACTGGGGATTGAACCCAGGGTCTTCACAATGAGCTATATCCCCTGTACTTTTTAATGTCCAGGCAGTACTAAATTTAGCAATCTTCCTGCCTCAGCCTCCCAAATGCTGGGGTTATAGACATGCACCACTGCATCCAGCTTAATATTCTATACCTAAACATTTATTAGGTATATAAATATGAATACTTGGATCAAGATCAAGTAACACTTAAATTCAAAAATTGTTTGGAACACAATCACAAAAATGAAATACTTAGGTATAAATCTAACAAAAAGTGTACAAGATTTATATAAGAAAAAGTACAAGATTGTGATTGATGAAAGATATCAGAAGGGCTGAGGATACAGCTCAGTGGCACAGCACAGGCCTAGTAAACACAGGGTCCTGAGTTCAATTCCCAAAAAAGAAAGATATCAAAGACCTCAAAAAACAAAGATACACCAAGTACATGAATGGGTAAATTAAATAAAAACTCAGAATAGCCAACACAATATGAAGAACAAAGTCCAAGAAATGACTAGTATAAAGTGACAGTAAGCAACACAGTGTGTTATTGGTGAAAGAAGAGATAAATAGATCAATGGAACAGAATAGGGAGTCTAGAAATAGATCCACACAAATATAGTCAATTATTTTTTTTTTGTAATGGCTCAAAGGCAACTCAAAGAAAGTCTTTGAACAAATGGTGCTAGAACTGGGCACCTACATGCAAAAAAATAACTCTAGACATAGATCTTATCTTATAACTTTCACAAAATATTACTCAAAATATTACAAACCTCAATATAAAATGAAAAATATAAAATACCTAGACCACAAGAGAAAATCTAGTGACCTTGAGTTTGGCAATGACTTTTACATGCACTGCCAAAAGCATTGATCCATGAAAGAAGGTACTAAGTTGGACTTCATTAAAATTTAAAACTTGGCTTGACGTAGGCTTTACAATAGATCTTAGTGGTCTGGAACATTTAATAGAATCTGATGCCCACTCTCCAGATAATGAGAGAATACAGAGCACATCAAATCTAAGAGCTGACCTCCAAGCTGAAACTGAAGTTAAGTCTCAATAGTGCTTTTAGACTACTGCAAATCCTCAGGTAGATCTCTAAATAAATTAAATTCAAGGTCATGTCTTTAAATGACCCATCTACAGGTAGTTAAAATCACTGTCTTATTATTATAGACATCTAAGGTAGGTTAAAAATATTACAGGCAGTCAGACAGGGGCGGGCCCTCAAAGGAGTCAGCGCAGAGGATGAGAACACATTACCACTGCAGTTGGAGGTGCATCTGTTGAAGGCCAGGCCTCATGATAAAAACAGAAGGATTGGGCCTGCATACCTCCCCAAGAGATGCACAATAATTTGAAGATTATGTTTAATTGGTATCACCTGTCCAATAAAGTGTAGCTAGACACTAGTCACCCAGATAAGTGACCAGGACCTCCCAATTCGCCCACTCCTAAAAAAGGTCCTTGTTCTTTCCATGTATACTTGCTATATGAAACCTGCTTCCCCACTGGATCAACATTACCTAAGCAAATATACTTGTAATCTTATTAGTTAATCATAGTTTTGACCTATGTTGTACCCACCTCATGATTTTGCTCTATAAAACTTTGAGAAATAGGCTCATTGGCAACACATTTTCAGGTCCCCACCTGCCTCTCAGGAGCGCTCGCTCTCTCTCTCTCTCTCTCTCTCTCTCTCTCTCTCTCTCTCTCTCAATAAATATTTCCTACTCTTAACCTTCTTAGAATTCACACTTAGATTTTGGGGAACACGAATTTGGGATATCAGACTTGAAAGCTGTAATATTTCCCTTATATCATGGGGGAGTACAGGGATCAAACTCAGGACCTTACTCTTGCCATGCAAGTGTTTATCCCACTGAGCTATCTCCTCAGCCCTCCTTTATATCATGTAAAGGTCCTATGATTAGACTGACTCAACATCAAGCAAGTAAAACATTCCCATTATTAAAACTTACACAGACTTTGGAATTACTCTTTAAGACAACATTCTACACAGTTTTAACAGGAATCTCCTTAAACTTCTGTTATAAAATGCTTTTTGTATGTCAGTCTATGGTAGTGGCTTCAGACAGCTGAATTATGTTCTAATAACATCTACCCACAAAACTAATACATTTTTAGTGTTAAGTTGGAATTACCATGATTAAAACTTCTGAAACACTCCTATAAAGCACTCTATACAGAAATTAAACACATTCATTAACACAAAACTGAAACCTAGTCAGCTTTAATTTGGGGATGAATGGGTAGAATTTGAGCACAACATGACTGCCTGAAAGGTTGGAAGGGAGCAAACGGATAGTAAGACTCTAGTTCAAGGACAGCCAGGGTTACATAACAAGATTCTGTCAGAAATGAAAGGGGACTGGCCAGATAGCTCAGCAGATTAAAGCACCTACTTAGGCAGACGCAGGGACTGCGGTTCGATCCCTGCCTTGTAGTGCCAGCCCCAGCTGAAATGGCGATTGAGAATGGGCGTGGTGGCACGTGCCTGTAATCTCAGCGCTTGGGAAGCTGAAAACAGGAGGATCACTATGGATCCAATCTGTATAGTGAGACCATGTAGACCCTGGACTAAATACATTTTTAAAAAAGAAATGAAAGGGGGAAGAGGTGGACAATCAATCAGTCTTATATAGTTAACCTGACTTCCAACATCAGAGAAGCATATATGACTTGGGTCAGCCAAATCAACACATTCCATCTCCCTCATCATGATATATTATCCAATGAGAGCCAATGAAAGGCCTGGAAATGTATTAAACTGTTAAGAGATAGCTCCCTCATCCCCTCACCTACGTGGCCCTACACATAGAAGGACACAAGACTAGAGATATACAGTGCAACCTCAAGTGAATCAAAGAGAAAAGAGTCAAGACATGTAAGATTCAGGTCCTGGTGACACATTTAAGTCTCTAAATCAAATGATACTTATAATGAGTATCATAATGATAAACACCAGCTCATCCCCATAAAACTGGCCAAGATTAAACCATCTAAAGGACCTAACTAAAACTGTTCTTTAAGAATTTATCCCTGGGCTGGTGAGATGGCTCAGTGGTCTAAAGCACATACTTAGAACAAGATAAGCTAAGCAAAGCACAGGGACCGCAGTTCAATCCCCCAGCACCACATGCCAGCCAGCCCCGCCCCCTGGTGGGCTGAGCTGGCCACACACACACAAAATAAATAAATAAATACATAAAATTTTTTTTAAAAAAAGAATTTATCCCACAGCAGGTTAATACATAAAAAGTAACATGCAAACTAAGTATCAATGTGCAAAAACATGGTTTGGTTTTGAAATAGGGTCTTGCTATACTGCTCATGCTGTTCTCAAACTCCTAGGCTCAAGGGATTTTCCTGCCTCAGCTGGTGTAAGGCACCAAGCCAGACACCAATGGTCATTTCTGTTAACTCAATCCACTTTTTTTTTTAAATTATTTATTTATTTGTGTGTGTGTGTGTGTGTGTGTGTGTGTGTCCAGCTCAGCCCACCAGGGGGTGGGGCAGGCTGGCCTGTGGTGCTGAGGGATTGAACTGTGGTCCCTGTGCTTTGTTTAGCTTAGCTTGTTCTAAGTAGGTGCTTTAGACCACTGAGCCATCTCACCAGTCCCTCAATCCACTTTTGTTAATACAGTTTTGAACCTTAATATAGGGGATAGGAGCCCCCTATCCCCTATATTATAACAGAAACCCAAAGCAATTCTCGGTAGTGAAGTATGCACTAGAACTCTCTATTCCCCCCACGTTTTACCTTTCTCTTATAGGAACCTAAATTTTTCTGGCTCCTGATATATTATAATAGGGCTGAAATGTCCTTGTTCTTATCCTTCATCATGACTAGAGTGATGTAGGGAGGCTGGCGGCCAAAAGGATTTCCATTCACTCTATTCCACACCCTTGCTTAAAAACAAAAGTAACGTCTCAAATATAATTACCCCATAAGTGCTCGCTTCGGCAGCACATATACTAAAACTGGAACAATACAGAGAAGATTAGCACGGGCCCTGCGCAAGGATGACACGCAAATTCATGAAATGTCCCAGTTTTTTTGGAATATTTTCCTGAATTCACGCACCTACAATATTTAAATGACAATGAAATACACTTCTCTGACAAAACTAAACAAAAAAGGGGGATACAAATGAACAACCATTTCGTATCTGTATATTCAAAATAGCTAGGAGAGATATACAGCTGCATTCTCTTAATTCAATGAATACAGAGATTTGTCCTAATAGTGTTTGTGGAGAGGATATCACATCTGCATCTTGGACAATGAATAACCACTAAGACAACAATATGCAATGTATTAATTATTTAAACCATGCTAGTAATCGGTTTTGAAACTGTCTCATTGCTATTTGTTTCTCAAATAAATTTTAAAAAATAGCAATAATAATTACCCCACAAATCTCCACCATGACCAAACTAAACCATCTCACATATAATTTTTATGATTCTCAATGTTTCCATGGAATATCATATATATTTTATTTTAAAGTAATTGGCTGTTATAGGGTCTCACTATGCAGCTTGGACTCATAGTGATCTGCCTGTTTTCAGCCTCCCCAGAGTTGGGATTACAGGTGTGCAGCACCATACCTTGAGTCTGGTGGCCTTGGCCCGCTCTGGCATGCAGTGCCAGAGATCAAACCGCAGTCCCTACGCTTGCCTAAGCAGGTACTTAAATATGCTGAGCTACCTCACCAGCCCCTCAAAATAAATTTTAAGTCTAACTTGCTTAATTTACAAGAGTCACTGCAAATAACATAATCAATAATGCATAAGTTGCAATCCAATAAAAACAGACAAAGGGAAAGAAAAGGCAGGTCACAGGATAAGAAGTAGAAATGACAATGAACATATGAAATATGAATATTCACAACCACATTCAGAGATATGCACATGAAAAATACTTGAACTTGCACCATCTACAGTTCCCAATATATCCCCTCTCACATGCAATTAACAATGTGTTGGTGCTCCTCCTCTAAGTGGGCAGGCCAATGGCACATCAATAGCAAAAATGGCCCTATGCCACTTCTAGGTCTAAATCAGAGAACATGATAATGGTTGGGGCAGTGATATAGCTCAGTGGCACAGTGCCTAGCAACAGCAATGTCCCAAGTTTGATTCCAGTATGAGACAGACAGACAAGACAGACAGACAGACAGATGGATAGACAGACAGACAGACAGGATAATGGGTCCCATGTTATTCTTGGAGAATACTCTTCCTTGGAGCCTCGTGACTAAGTTGCAAGGAGGCCAAACAGTTACACAGAGAAGGCCTCCTAGGTGCTCTCCATAACCCAGATGATCCTAGAAGTGATCATGCCCTGAGCCTCTCAGCCTCTCAGCCTCTGAAAATGGCATCAAGATAATCAGAGTTGCCTGGGAGACAGCTCAGTGGCATAAGCACCTGCCTGGCAAGTGCAAGGTCCTGAGTTTGATCCCCAGTACCAAAAAAAAAAAAAAAAGAAAAAGAAAAGAAAAGAAAGGCAGAGTCAAGCTGCTCTCACTAAGCCCTGACCAAATTGCAGATTCATGTGCAAAATAAATGATAATGCTGCTTTAAGCCATTAAATTTTTGTTACATAGCAAGAGATAACCAACCAGTCCTATCTAAACAGCTAAACTACTGTACATTAGTTCCCATCAGGGTTGTCCTAAGTAAGGAAATCAGTGTTGGGGAAAGCAAACTGGTCCTATTTAGAGCAAAGGAAATTGGTCAACAATTAGCAAATTTTAAAATACATGCAATATTTGACTAAGTATTTTAAGCAATTCCACAAGTCACAAAATGAGCACAAATTTGTTCTTTCCAGTAAAGCTATAAAAGCAAACACTCAACTACTCTTAAATGGTAGTACATTCATATAATGAAAAAATCATATAACTTATCTTTTAAAAACCATCAAAAGTGCTGGTATGAAACAGCAGATTTTAATGCACACATATTACTATAGTCCTCAAAAAATACAGACCATAGATTGGTAAACAAATAGGTCAGAGAGCAAATGCTTTGAGCTTTTCAAGGCACACCCAGTCTGTCTGCATATTCTTTACTTGTTTACAGGCCCTTAACAATGTAAAACCATTTTTATCTCATTAAGTTTTACAAAAGCCAGCTTGCTGACCCTGATGTAGTTATAATCACTGATACAATTTTTCAAAATAATATCTGCTTCAGAAATATAATCAGGGCCAGAGAGATAGCTCAGTAGAATAAGCGCTTGCCTGGCAAGTGCAAAGCCCTGAGTTCAATCCCCAGTATTGCCAAAAAAAAAGAAAGAAAGAAATATAATCAAACTTGTCCTGGATACCTTCTCTCATTCATACTCTGAACTCCTGGCTCCATTTCTTCTTTAGTTCAGGCATTTATTCTCTACCTGAGACCAAACCCAACAACAGGGAAGAATTATGACCCAGGTTATTTTAGTTTACATTTTTTATCCCTTTTTTTTTGGTGGGGGGAGGGGGCAACAAAAAGAAAACCTAAGACTGGGTGTGGTGGTGCATGCCTGTAATCCCAGCACTGGGGAGGCTGAAAACAGGACGATCACTAGCAGGAGTCTGAGCTGTGCACTGAGACCCTGTACCAAATACATAAAAAAATTAAGGGCCGGGGAGATGGCTCAGTGGAATAAGTGCTTCCCTGGGAAGCGCAAGGGCCTGAGTTGTTAATCCCTGGTTCAGAAAAAAGAAAAAGATTAAAAGATAAATTTTTTTTAAAAAAAGTAACAAAAAGAAAAACTAGGAGAAAACATTTCCACAGGAGGTAAAGATACTGAATTATTGAGCCAAAAGGTTAAGCGTGATAAATTGAAATCAATCTTTTTTAAAAATAATAAAGCTTCTATATTAATGTATTCTCAATCACCTATTTTTTTTCACTACTCCTTTGATCTCACCTGAAAGACTCACTGTGAAGTTTTGAAAGAACACAAGAATGCTTTAAAAGCAGCGCCACTGAGCCTTGGTATGGAGGTGCACGCCTATAAATCCCAGCACCAGGGAAGCCAAGGCAGGAGGATGGCCTTGAGTCCAAGGCCAGGCAGGGTCAAGTCCAGCCTGAACTACAGTGAGAATCTGTCAAAAAAAAAAAAAAAAAAAAAAAAACCAGCAAAAACCTAGTGCCTGAAGCTATCTCTATAAGTAAAACAGTGAAAACAGGCAACATGACATATTTAAAGAAACAACCCTGGGGGCTGGTGAGATGGCTCAGTGGTCTAAGGCACCTACTTAGAACAAGCTTAGCAAAGCACAGGGACCGCGGTTCAATCCCCCAGCACTACATGCCAGACAGCCCCGCCCCCTGGTGGGCTGAGCTGGCCACACACACACACACACACACACACATATAAATAAACAAAAAATAAAAAAATAAACAACCCTACAACCCTAACCTCTCATGCTTTGTGGTTCCTGTTCTTAATTTAGAGCTTTTTCTCACACAAATTAGACAACTTTGGAACTGAGGCCTTGGTTTTAACATTAATTTTGCTCTCCTTCTATTTCATATCAGCCCAAGAAGTTGGTGCAGTCACTTAGTAAGTGCCATTAAATTATAATACAGGAAAACACAAAATATACTTTCTATATTTCTTACACGTCTCTTATTTTAACAGTAGCCAGCTAACTTCCTTGGAAGACATCCTTGTCAGTTATTTCTTCCTTCCCCTCTCCCTGGCCAGTATTCTTTTTTGGGTTTGGTGCGAGGGGTTTTTGCAGTACCAGGGATTGAACTCAGGCCCTTGTGTTTGCCAGTCAAATTCTTATTCTACTGAGCTATCTCCCTGCACCCCTACCCAGTATTCTAAATTCTTAAAAATAAAAAAAGGAAAAAAAGCCACTTAAATGATTAAAATGTTAATTTCTGAGTTCAATTCCCAGCACAAAAAAAAAAAAAAAAAGTAACTGCTAAATGATCTTTCTTTCTTAGATTTACAGAACCCAGATTTCAGTGACCTTCAGGTACCATCAAAATGTGCAATGTCCCTCTTTATTCTTCAGTTCTAACCCAAAGCACATCAACTGTTGTGGTGTTTAACTTGCAAAAAAGTAGCATGCTTGTAACTAGCCGAAGATGTTCCAGCCAAACAGGAAAAAAAGGGGACACACCTGCCCTGGCTAGCAAAGCTCCTGCTTAGTCTCCTGCCTGCTGCCCTCCTGGCCCCCCTTCCCTTCCTATGAAAGCCCTTGGCTCCCCAGTTCCCTCAGACAGAGCTGCAAGAACGGTGGCCTTTTCATCTGAAGACTGACCCTTGAATAAAGCCACTTCTCCCCAGCCCTCCTCTCTCATACGGCTTTCGAGCAGTGAGCAACTGCACCCACATTCAGTGACATTATCTCTAACCTACTTACTCCCAGTCTCTGTGGAAACCACTCTTCTGTTCCATTTTCCTTCTGTGTTGCTCTACGAAATGGGCCCTCACAGTGCCAGATCACCACAGGCCCCTGCATGTCTCGGTTTCACCTTCTCTTGACTTGCTCCTTTCTCCTATATTGTTGATACTACCGTCACAGACTAGGATTAAGAACTGGGGAATACAAACATGCTTTCCTTTATTTCACAGTGAGTAATCTTTCTGAAGAGCGAGAGCAGCCAGGCATAGCACTCAGGAGGCTGGGGCAGGAAGATCACCAACTCGTGCTACATAAATGAGTTCAAGGTCACATTGAACTGCATAGTACAAGCCCAGATATAGTTCAATGGCGTAGTACCTGCTTGGCAGGAGCAAGGTCATGAATTCAATTCCCAATACCAATAAACAAATAAACTGCACAGTGAGACCCTGTCTCAAAAAAGAAAAAAAAAACATAATTGTCAGCTGTCAGTAGTCAAATATTACAGTTACTATCACAGAGTGTGGGGGTGCACACCTGCCTGTAATCTAAGCACTCAGGAGGCCATGCAGACAGCCATGAGTTTGAGACCCTCTCAGTACATATTGATATAACGCATTTCAATACACATTAAAATTTCCATAATAGAAATTTTGAAGTGGGGCTGGGGAGCTGGCTCAGTGGAATAAGCACTTCCCTGG